CCTCGAGCGCGTCACCACGCGGGCCTCCACTCCCACACCCCAGGCCGCTCTGCACTTCCTGGTGACGCAAACCCCGGCTCCAGTGCCTGGGTCCCAGCCGGCCACACTGGGAGACCAGGATGGAGCTCCAGGCTCCCTGGCCCAGCCCTGGCTGTCGCAGGCGCTCGAGTGACCCAGCGGATGGAAGACTCACTGCCCGTCACTCGCTCTCTTTTAAAAGATTTATTTTATTTATTTGAGAGGCAAAGTTATAGAAAGAGGTCTTCCATCCACTGGTTCACTCCCCAAATGGCCACAACGCCCAGAGCAGAGCCGATCCGAAGCCAGGAGCCAGGAGCTCCATCCAGGTCTCCACGTGGGTGCAGGGCCCAAGGACCTGGGCCACCTGCTGCTGCTTTCCCAGTGCATCAGCAGGGAGCCAGACCAGAAGCGGAGCAGCCGGGACTCGAACCGGCACCCACACGGGATGCTGGCTCTGCAGGCTGGGGCTTTAACCCCCTGCGCCACAGCGCCAGCCCCGTCTATCTTTTTTCTTTTTTTTTTTTTTAAATTTTTTTTTTTTTTTTTTGGACAGGCAGAGTGGACAGAGAGAGAGAAACAGAGAGAAAGGTCTTCCTTTTGCCATGGGTTCACCCTCCAATGGCCGCCGCACCGCGCTGATCCGATGGCAGGAGCCAGGAGCCAGGTGCTTCTCCTGGTCTCCCATGGGGTGTAGGGCCCAAGCACTTGGGCCATCCTTCACTGCACTCCCTGGCCACAGCAGAGAGCTGGCCTGGAAGAGGGGCAACCGGGGCAGAATCCGGTGCCTCAACCGGGACTAGAACCCGGAGAATCGGCGCCCCAGATGGAGAATTAGCCTAGTGAGCCGCGGCGCCGGCCCACTCTGCCTTTCAAAGCAAATAAATCTTTAGACTCTGAAGGCCACAGTGCCTGCGTCTGAATCCCAGTTTGGTCAGCTGTGAGGCCTTGGGCAAGTCAGTTACCCTCTTGCAGCCTGAGTGTTCTCATCTGTGAAACGGAGATTTAAAAGGACCTGCCACAGAGTTGTGAGATTAGTGAGTACAAGCCAAGTTCTAAGGGCCTGGCACACAGCAAGCGTCTGCTGTCACCCGTTATCACGGGGCCCTGGGACCTAAGCCCTGCCCATCACTCGCTCTCCTATGCCTCCGCAGTGGCTCAGCTGCTGTCCCCCACCCACTTGCCTAATTCCTGGTGTCCTGGACAGCTCCACTTTTCGACTTTACATTGATTTTTTTTTTTCATTCACTCTGCTTTAAAAAAACTGCTTGCTGACGGCCTACAACATGCCACTAAGACGATAAAGCTCAGTTCTCTGGAACTCACTCTGCCAAGGCGAGGCAGGCAGTACTACGTAAACGGCCCTCATGGCAACCGTCACAGATAGTGGAGTCTTGTGTCAGTGTAAGCCCTAAGAAGGCGGCGGCGGAGACCGCAAGCCGGAACAAGGCTGCTGGAGCTGGAAAACCACGTGGCGAGAGGAAACAGCGCGAGGCGGCTTCAGACAGCCAGAACCAGAGGCCAGAACAGGTCTGGACCGGCCTGCCTACAGTGGAGTGCAGGCGAGGGGCCTGGAGTGCGGCAGAGACACGGCCGGATGCGGGGTTTCACGAGTCACTCCCGCATCTCCCTGGATGCCCCAGGCTGGGCCGGAGCCCGCAGCGTCTCCTGTGCTTCTGCACACGGTATGTGCCGGCTAACGCCTGCATTCCCTGCAGTCGTTCTGTGCCACCGGGTCCCGCTCAGGTCCTGCACAAACCGTGCCCACTGGAGGGGAGGTTCTGCTGCCTGGGCTACGCCCACCCGAGGCGTTCTCTGCCCCGGCAGGAGCCCCGCGCCTCCGCCCCGCAAAACAATGCGGTCTCACGGGGTCCCGGAGGGTTCAAGGGAGCTGAGCCGCGTAAGCGCCTGGGCCGCCACCGGGCAACGCGCCGGGCCCGGGTACTCTGGAGGAGCTGGCGTACGTGGCCTGGCACCGCGTGCGCTCCAAAACCGGCTCCGCAAGACGGACGGGCGCCCGGGCAGACGGCGAGGGCCGCGCGGGGCAAGGACCCCACCTAATCCGGGGCCCCGGCCCAGCCCGCAGCACTCGCACGCTTCCAGCCCCGGGACACCGCCCCCGCTCACGCACCTTCCATGCGGTCCGCAGGTATCCCGGGAAGGAGCCGCGAAGCCCCGCCCACGCCCGCCGGAAGCGCGCACGTCACTTCCGGCTGCGCCGCTCTAGCCCTCCCGGCGGAGCCGGCCGCCCCTCGCCCGTGTCGACCCTGTTGCCCAGGGAACGGGCTCCCGGCAGCCCCCGCGGCCGGGCGTCCATCCCCGCCTCCCGGCCCGGCGGGGCTGACCAGTCCGGAGGGCCCGCCGCGGGAGGTGAGTCCGGCGACGCCGCGGGCGGCTGGACGCGGGGCCCCCACCCCCTCCGCGCGCAGGCCTGCCTCCGCCTCGGCTCCTCAGCGTCTCCCCTCTTGGCCGCCCCGCCCCGGCGCCGAGACTCCGGGGGCGCTGGGCGGCTGCCGGCACCCGTCTCCGCGCGGCCTGGCCGGGGGTCCGACGCCCCCTCAGACGCTCGGCCCCGCGCTCCGCCCCTGCGCGGCCCCGCCGCGGCCTCGGCGCCCGGGTCCGGGGACGGCGCTTGGTCTGGCCGCGTCCCTCAGCCCAGACCGCGGGATGGTGGAGTGTGGGTGGTTACAGGGCTGCGAGTGACCCCTGTCAGCCCCGTCTGTAAGGCCTGGGCGGCAGGGTAGGTAGTGAGGGTGAAAGGGGCTGCCCGGGGTGCGGGCGCAGCGTCGCCCGTTCTCAGCTGCGGGCTGGGGGCGCGAGAGCCTTCGCCGCGCCAGGCGGCGGCGGCGGCGGCAGGGACAGGGTCCTGGTTTCCTCTGTGGCCCGGGACCCCTGCGTCTGCTGTCTTCCCTGGGCTTCTGCGTGGCCTCTGCTCCCGTGCCCCTTCCCTGCCCTTTGTTCTCGGCGGCCCCGACGGGAGTCAGGCGGCTTCTGTCTGCAGGGTGCGGCCGTCCTGGTGCGAGCTGGGTGCAGCCAGGGGGTCTGGGGACCTCCCTTCCCAGCCATGGGACCCCAGACCCGCTGGCGTGGGCCCGGTGTGGGAACGAAGTCACGCGAGTGCGTCTGGGCTGTCGGTGCCTGCTGGCCTTTGAAAGACTGCTTTGTGCTTTCTCACCGTGTCCCGTGCGCTTTGATGAACCTCTGACTTTGCCTCTTGGAGAAATGTTTATTTTCATCCTGAAAAGCAGAGTGCGAGAGTGACCGTCCACCTGCTGGGTCACTCCCAGATGCCTGCGACAGCCAGGGCTGGGCTGGGTCCAAGCCGGGTGTGGACGCCCCAGGCTGGGCCTTGACCACAGCGCCCTGCCGCGACCTTGGCCGTTGTGTAACCTGAGGGGCTTCCCACGTTTGTTTACGGAGGTCCTCGCTTGGATCAGGAAGCAGCCGTCCACGTAGAGCCCGGCGTGGAGAGCGCCACACACCGCTTGTCGAAGCAGGAGGGCGTGGTTGACGGCTTTGAGGACTGCCGGGGTACAGTCGAGCTGTTCGGGGTGTGTGCTGTCTGGGGGGACGCGTTCTTTGGATCTGGATGGAGTTTTTGCCGCCGTCTCACAGGCAGGGTGATCGGGTGCTTGAAGAGAGATCCGTTCAGCACTGATTGCGTCCTGCTTGTCGTTTGAAGCCACAAGCGTGTTGACCAGTGGACACAGACAGTCCACTGACCAGACCAAAGCAGACAGCGGTGCTGGTGCTGTGTGGAAGCAGCGGGGGACCAGGCGGCTTCCTGGGGGAGAGCCCCTCCCTACAGACTGTGGTGGGGAGCAGGGAGGGCCGAGAGGAACTGTGCTCTTCAGAGACACGCAGCCCGCCTGTGTTCAGGGAGTGGTGGCTACAGCAGAGCGTGTGGGTGGGAGAGTGGCCCCGGGCGGAGTTAGAAATGCCCTGTTTCCATGCTAGTGTTGGGGCTAGCCTGTGAGCCCCGGCTGGCCATTGGCGGGGGGGAGAAGTGACACAATTCCATCTGGAAGGTAAACATCCCCTCAGTTCTTGTATTCCGCTGTAAGAATTTGCCACTTAATTAGTAGATGCTGTAGCCAGACTTTAAACCTAGACTGCACAGCCAGGATACCAGTGGTGGCTTCCCAGAGGTTGTGGAGAGAACCCGTAATCCATTAGTGTTGTCAGTTAGGAGCATTGTGCTGAAATTGGATGACTTACGTGCCGCGGCTCACTAGGCTAATCCTCCGCCTGCGGCGCCGGCACCCCGGATTCTAGTCCCGGTCGGGGCACCGGATTCTGTCCTGGTCGCTCCTCTTCCAGTCCAGCTCTCTGCTGTGGCCCGGGAAGGCAGTGGAGGATGGCCCAAGTGCTTGGGCCCTGCACCCCATGGGAGACCAGGAGGAAGCGCCTGACTCCTGGCTTCGGATCCGCGCAGCGCTCCAGCCATAGTGGCCATTTGGGGGGGGGGGGTGTGCCAACGGAAGGAAGACCTTTCTCTGTCTCTCTCTCACTAACTCTGCCTGTCAAAAAAAAAAAAAAAAGTGGATGACTTAGACTGTGCGTTAGTCCTGGCCCCAGTGTTCCTGGCCCGGGAAAGTTGCCTGTGAAGGTGGCTGTAGGCATTGCCAGTCAGCAGTGGAGGCTGCCACCTCCTAGGTTTGGAGTATTGATGGGACCAGTGCGGGGAGAAAGCCTCATGACTTATAGAAGTCACAGCGGTGTTCTGTAGCTTTTTTATTTATTTATTTATTTTTTAATTTTTGACAGGCAGAGTGGACAGTGAGAGAGAGAGAAAGGTCTTCCTTTGCCGTTGGTTCACCCTCCAATGGCCGCCACAGCCGGCCACCGGCACACTGCGCTAATCCAAAGGCAGGAGCCAGGTGCTTCTCCTGGTCTCCCATGGGGTGCAGGGCCCAAGCACTTGGGCCATCCTCCACTGCACTCCTGGGCCACAGCAGAGAGCTGGCCTGGAAGAGGGGCAACCGGGACAGAATCCGGCGCCCTGACCGGGACTAGAACCTAGTGTGCCGCCACCACAAGGCGGAGGATTAGCCTATTGAGCCGCGGCGCTGGCCGGTGTTCTGTAGCTTTAAACGTTTATTTATTTTCACCTACTTGAAAGGCAGGGAATAAATGTGGAGGGAGGAGGTTAGAAATGGATTTTCTGTCTGCTGGTTCACTCCCCAAATGACTGCAGCAGTTGGTGCCAGACTGAAGCATCTGGGCTCCCATGTGGGTGACGGGCTCAAGCACTTGAGCCACTACCTGCTGCCTTGCAGCATGCATTAGCAGGAAGCTGGATCAGAAGTGGAGCGGCCAGGTAGAACCAGCACCTGTATGGGTATTGGCCTTACAGAATGCATTAGCAGGAAGCTGGATCAGAAGTGGAGCGGCCAGGTAGAACCAGCACCTGTATGGGTATTGGCCTTGCAGCATGCATTAGCAGGAAGCTGGATCAGAAGTGGAGCGGCCAGGTAGAACCAGCACCTGTATGGGTATTGGCCTTACAGAATGCATTAGCAGGAAGCTGGATCAGAAGTGGAGCGGCCAGGTAGAACCAGCACCTGTATGGGTATTGGCCTTACAGGCAGAAGCTTCACCTGCCATGCCACAACAGCGGCTCTTTTTGCCTATTTTGTTTTATTTTTATTTATTTAGTTTTAAGATTTATTCACTTATTTGAAAGACAGAGTTGCAGAGAAAGAAGGAGAGACAGAAAGGGAGAGAGAGAGAGAGCGAGAGAGGGAGAGAAAGAGAAAGATTCCATCTGCTGGATCAATTCCCAAATGGCCACAACAGCCAGAGCTGGGCCGATCAGGAGCCAGGAGCTTCTTCCAGGCCTCCCACGTGGGTGCAGGGGCCCAAGCACTTGGGTCACCTTCCACTGCCCTCTCAGGTGCTTTAGCAGGAAGTGGATCAGAAGTGGGACAGACAGAACTTGAACCAGTGTTCATATGGGATGCTGGCATCACCCATTATGCCGCAGCACTGGCCTCCATTTGCCTATTTTAAAATCTTTTTATTATTGGATTTTATTTTGTTTGAAGATTTATTTATTTGTTTGAAAGTCAGAGTTACAGAGAGAGAGAGAGAGATATCTTCCATCTACTGGTTCACTCCCTAGATGACTACAGTGGCAGGACTGGGCCCTGCCCAAGCCAGGAGCTTCTTCAGGTCCTCCATGTTGGTAGCAGAGGCTCAAGCACTTAGGCCATCTTCTGCTGCTTTTTCCAAGCCATTAGCAGGGAGCTGGGTAGGTAGTGGAGCAACCAGTTCACAAACCAGCACCTATTTAGGATGCCAGCATTGCAGGTGGAGGCTTTACCTGCTATACTACATGCTGGCTCCTTATTATTAGATTATAAGATAGTCCTTTATATGTTCTGGGTACAGTTCTCTTCTCAGATATAGGATGAGCAAATATTTTCTCCCATTTGTGGGAGACTTTTTAAAGATTTGTTTTTATTTATTTATATTTATTTTTATTTGACAGGTAGAGTTATAGACAGTGAGAGAGAGAGACAGAAAGGTCTTCCTTCCGTTGGTTCACTCCCCAAATGGCCGCTACGGCCGGCGCTGCGCCAATCTGAAGCCAGGAGCCAGGTGCTTCCTCCCAGTCTCCCATGTGGATGCAGGGACCCAAGCACTTGGGCCATCCTCCACTGCCCTCTCGGGCCACAGCAGAGAGCTGGACTGGAAGAGGAGCAACCGGGACTAGAACCCGGCACCCATATGGGATGCTGGTGCTGCAGGCAGAGGATTAACCAAGTGAGCCACGGCACTGGCCCCTTGTTTTTATTTATTTAAAAAGCACAGTTACAGAGAGAGAGAGAGAGAGAGAGAGCGAGCGAGTGAGCAGGAGAGACAGAGATCTTCCATCTACTGTTTCACTCTCCAAATAGTCCCAATGTCTAGGGCTGGGTCAGCCTGAAGCTAGCAGCTTTTTCTGGATCTCTCATGTAGGTGTAGGGGCCCAGACACTTGGGCCGTCTGCTGCTTTCCCAGGCCATTAGCAAGGAGCTAGATTGGAAGTGGAGCAGCCAGGACTTGAACCTGCACCCATATGGGATGCCAGTGTCTCAGGTGGCGGCTTTTTCCACTCTACCACTATGCCGGCCCTATCATGTGACGACAGTGTTTGCTTTTCATGAAATCAGAGAGCTCATCCTGACTGCATGTACAGGCGTGAGTCTCAGGGCCACTATGGAAACGCAGGACAGTGCTGCAGATGAGAGAGGATGGCTTCCACGCAGGCGTTGATTGGATTGGTGAGGAGGTCCCGGAAGGTGTGAGGTGGGTCTGGACACAGTTGAAGGAACGAGGTGAAGGAGACGGGGGTGAAGGATGGCTGCTGGGATGCCAGCTTGAACACTTTTGGTTGAAGTTTGGTTTTACTGTCACCTGATAAAGAATTGTGACAGTTTTTAATTCCTCCTGGAGCCTGGCCAGGTGTTCCCTGTGCTTCCTTCTAAGACATTTAGAAGTTTTGGGGGCAGTATTATTGCTGATTGTGCCAAGGACATGGTTCTAGGGTTTCTGAGCCTCCATAATGCTCGTTAAAGCTTCCTAAATCACCAGAAATGAACACACACAGCCAGAATAGGGTGCCTGCTGTGCAGATGCAGTTTTGAGCAGATCCTGGCTCCCTTCTGCTGACTGCAGTCTCAAAGCCCTGCTGTACAGAGATTATAGAGCTGTCAGTGAATAGTATTGTATCAAGCAAATGAATTTCTGAAAGCCAAATGTGATAATTTGACAGGGCTATATTGAAGAAAAAGACTTTTAAAGGAACAAATAACACTGGCTGACATTGGAGAAGTGCTTGGTACTTCTACTTGCTTGCTGGGAGACCCCACCGGCTAAAGCAGATGAGAAGGTGCTGCCGGGGTTCAGGTGTGTCCCCAGGATTCCCCAGTGCTATGTTAGTGCCAGTTGGAGGCGGGGCCCCGGGAGGTAATTAGGATTAGATGAGGCTGTGAGGGTGCAGCCCCCATGGTTGCATTAGTGACTTTATAAAAAAAATTAAAAGACCCAAGCTAGCAAGCCATCTCTCTCCCCACCTTGGAACTCTGCGGAGTCCCCACAGCAACGAGGAGGTCACCAGATGCAGCCTCTGAACTATGAGCCAAATAACCCTTCATTCAGTCTGTGGTATCGTTAGAGCAAGAGGAAACATAGATGTATGCCTTCCAGAGGCAAGGAGTAGAGTGTGGAGACCAGGAGGTGAGAGACCGGAAGTGCAGTTAGAAGCTGTTCATCAGAGCTAGAGACTCTGGGGCTGCAAGGACGGGCGGAGGCCAGATCCCCGAGGCTCTTATGAGACGCTCTTGGGCTTGGTCCCGAGGAAGATGGAGACCATTGAGGAGTGTGAGGCAGGGGAGGGATGAGGCCTGTTTTGCCCGTGCCTAAGAGGGGACTGAGGGACAGGTGGGGAGCTGGGCACCAGGGAGAGCTCCAGGTGAGAGTGTGAGTGGCTTGAGCTGGGGGAAGGCAACAGGGTGCAAGGAAGATGTCCTGGGGAGTAAAGAGGACAGACAGTGATTGAGTGGAGAGGGCAGAAAAAATTGGGGAAAATGCTCCTTTCCTGGCTTGGACAGCATGGCCAGGGGTGACACCTGTATAGGTGATAAAAATATATAAAGTGACGTGTTCGTTTACTCTATGTGCTACATCTGTGATTAAAATTTCACTAATCCCATTTTCAGATGGGAAATACAGATGCAGAAAGGTTAAGTGGTTTTTCCGTAGGGAGTTCTGGGCACCATCGGTTACTCCAGCATCATCAGCTGTTCCACTGCCTACTTCTCCACGGTGGAAAGAGGCTCAGTGTTAGGATAGTCGGTCTGAGACCCAATCCAGGGCATTGTGGAGCACATGGGCTGGGAGGAGGACGTCTTAGCAGGAACCTAGCACAGGGCAGTGAGCCAGTGGCTGCCCGCCTCTGCCTCTGCCCACCCTGCATACGTTTGCTCCCAGTGAGCAGGAGGGCCTGGTGCTCCAGCCTAGGGGCAGCGTGGATTCTCCCCGTCCACTTGGGCCTCCTGGGCACCTGGCTCCCAGACTGGGCTTTCCTGTCTCCTCTGTTGCTGGGACTTTCCGGCTTGTCAGTGTCCTTTGAAAAACCACATTTGAGGCATACATCAGTGTAACCATTCTGGAAGGAAATTTGGCAATACTTTAAAAAATTTCAACATTTTCACCTCTTGAAATATGTACCAAGATTACCCATAGAGATGTGGTGATGTTGTTTGTGATGGTGAAATTTTAAACATTTTGATTAAGAAAATTTTGGTTTATCCATACAGCATGTTTTCTGCAGTTTTTCTTTTTTTCTTTAAAGATTTATTTATTTGAAAATCAGAGTTACAGGAGAGAGGAGAGGCAGAGAGAGAGAGAGAGGGAGAGAGAGAGGTCTTCCATCCACTGGTTCACTTCCCAAGTGGCTGCAACAGCTGGAGCTGCGCTGATCCCAAGCCAGGAGCCAGGAGCTTCTTCCAGGTCTCCCAAGTGGGTGCAGGGTCCCAAGGACTTGGGCCATTCTCCACTGCCTTCCCAGGCCATAGCAGAGAGCTGGATCGGAAGTGGAGCATCTGGGTCTTGAACTGGTGCCCATATGGGAGACCCGCGCTTCATGTCAGAGCATTAACCCGCTGCGCCACAGTGCTACCCACCCCCCTTTTATAAGATTTATTTTATTTATTTGAAAGAGTTGCAGAGAGAGATAGAACCAGAGAGAGAGGTCTTCCATCCACTGGTTCACTCCCTAAATGGCTGCAACGGCCAGAGCTGAGCTGATGCAAAGCCAGGAGCCAGAAGCAGCCATAACAGAACTGGATTGAAAGAATAGCAGCTGGGACTCAAACCGGCGCCCATATGGGATGCTGGCACTGCAGGCGGCGGCTTTACCCGCTGTGCCACAGCACCAGCCCCAGCAAGCATATTTCTGCACCTGGGGTGGAGCCACACTTCTAGTTAGAGGTCTTCCCTGTTCTGGTTTTCTATTCCTGTCAAACCTGGTGGACCTCATAGTTCAGCTTCTCTATTCTCACTTTAACCTGTGCTGATCTCTCCCTCTTCTCTGTGGGACCCCTGGACTAGTACCTAATTACTTGTGGTTTTGTGTTTCTTCATGGTTTCATCTGCCTCCCTGGCTAGGTCATAAGCTACCTGTAAGCAATAACTGTTTTTTATACTTTTCACCCCTCCGTTGTATTGCCCACAGTAGAAAGTATAGGCTTAGTACATATTGAAGTGCATTTTGAATTAAGATTTCAGGTGATCTTAATGACACCTGGTTTACTTTCTGTTTAATTAAATTGTGGCTGTAATTTTTAAAGACATTTATTATTTACTTGAGAGGCAGAGTTAGGGAGAGAGAGGGAAAGAGGAGAAATAAGTTTTTTTTTTTTTTCTCTTTTAAGGATCCATTTATTTACTTGAAAGGCAGAGTGAGAGAGAGGGGAGACAGAGAGAGGGATCTTCCATCCATTAGTGCATTCCCCAAATGGCCTCAATAGCCAGGGCTGGACCAGGTTGAAGCTAAGAGCCAGGAGCCTCCTCCAGGTCTCCCACGTGAGTGCAGGGGCCCAAAGACTTGAGCCATCTTCTGCTGCTTTCCCAGGCATACTGGCAGGGAGCTGGATAGGAAGTGGAGCAGCCAGGACCCAAACCATTGCCGATGTTGGATGTCGGCACTACGGGCAATGGCTCAGCCTCTGGAAATGGTTGCAACAGCCAGGTCTGAGCCAAGCTGAAGCCAAGTGGTGTCTTCAACATGGATGGCAAAGATCCCAGTATGTGGGTCATCTGCTGCCTTCCTAGTTGCATTACCTGGAAGTTGGATCCGAAGTGGAGTAGCTGGAACTCAAACTGGCCTTCAGATTTGAGATGTCAGTATTGTAAGTAGTGACTTAACTGGCTATGTCATGGTGCCATTCCCTGTGGCTCCAATTTTTAGCCCCCTAAAATTTACATGTTTTCACTATTTTAAAATTTAATTTATTTGAGAGATAGCGCTCCCATCTGCTAGTTCACTCTCCAGATGCCCACCAAGGCCAGAGCCAGGAGCTAGGTAACAGAAACCCACTCACTTGAGCCATCCCCACTGCCTACCAGGGTCTGCGGCGTTAGCAGGAAGCTGGAGTCAGGAGCCAGAGCTGGAACTCAAGCCCAGGTACTCTTGACACTGACGTGGGCGACTTAACCAGTGCCTTGGCTACTAGGCCACGTGCTTGCCCCCTTTTTCCATTATTAAACACCATTTTCTGGGGTGACTGGTGTGTTAGAAGAATTACGATGCTTTGTTCTGTAGCCCCCAGGTTTCCTTAGATGACAAACATCCATTTCTGGCCTGAAGCTCGCCTGTGGAAACCTTGGCCATGGCATCGGTATCAGAACCTGTTATATTCCGAGAATTCTGCCCGCTGTACTCTCTCCTCAACGCCATTCCCACCAAGATCCAGAAGGGCTTCCGGTCAGTTGTGGTCTACCTCACAGCCCTCGACACCAATGGGGACTACATCGCGGTGGGCAGCAGCATCGGCATGCTGTATCTGTACTGCCGGCACTTCAACCAGATGAGAAAGTACAACTTCGAGGTGAGCCTTGCATTCTTTGCACCTCCATGTGCTGGAGCCATGCTGATGTTAACATGCTTATGTTCCAGAGTGGGTGATTTGCTTCCAGGTTCCTAGAATATGGTCTGAATACCTCACCCAAACAGCACGTTAAAGTCATTCTTAATTGTGGTGGAAGATAATTAAAACATTCACATTTGGACTTTTTCTCCCCCCCAAAAAATCTAGCATCATTTTAAAAGAGAAGTGTTTTGTTTCTCAAAGTGCTTTTACTGACTGGCTTGAATAATCTCTAGTTATTCTTTTGGAAGTGTTGTGGAAAGAGGACTTCTGTCCGTACTTGCATTGATGAGGTGTAGTGAGATCTCTTCCGTCTCTGTTCTGCACTCCTGCTGACCCAGGTATAGATGTGTTCTAGGTCCTGGTGGGGACGGTGTTTGCTGTGGTGTGCCTGGCACCAAGCATGGAGTTGTAATCTAATTCACCAATTTAATCAGTATTTGTAGCTTACGGCTTTTCTTCTTTTTTTAAGTTTTCTTTTTTTAAAGATTTATTTTTCATTTGGAAGTCAGTTACACAGAGAGAAAAGGAGAGGCAGAGAAAGAGAGGTCTTCCATCTGCTGGTTCACTCCCCAGTTGGCTGCAACAGCCAGAGCTGTGCTGATCTGAAGCCAGGAGCCAGGAGCTTTTTCCAGGTCTCCCAGTGGGTGCAGGGGCCCGAGGACTTGGGCCATCTTCTACTGCTTTCCCAGGCCATAGCAGAGAGCTGGATCGGAAGTGGAACAGCTGGGATGTGAACCAGTGCCCATATGGGATGCCAGCACTGCAGGTGGTGGCTTTACCCTCTATGCCACAGCACCAGCTCCTTAAGGTTTACTTGTTTATTTGAAAGAGCCACAGAAAGAGAAGGAGAGACAGAGAGATCTTCCATCCGCTGGTTCATTCCCCAAATGGCTGTAATGACCAGGTCTGGGCCAGGCTGAAAACAGGAGCTTCCTAGGGGTCTCCCATGTGGGTGGCAGTGGGCCCAGTGCCTGCCCCAGTCTGGGGCTTTTTTGGCAGATTCAGAGGTAACTGAATTGTGATGATGTTGATGACCCCTCTACTAACTGCATAGTTGTATTTTTTTTTTTTTAATTATTTACTTGAAGAGTTAGAGATCTTCATCCACTAGTTGACTCCCCAAATGCCCACAATGGCCAGGGTTGGGCCAGGCTGAAGCCAAGAACTGGGAACTCCATACGGTTCTCCCACATGGGTGGCTGGGACCCATACACTTGGGACATCTTCTGTTGTTTTCTCAGGAGCATTAGCAGGGAGCTGGATCGGAAGTGAAGCAGCCAAGACTGGAACTGGTTAAGTGGTGGCTTAACCCATTGCACCACAACATTGGCCCCCAGTTCTCTTTTAGCACATGTATCTCACTGATCACTGTTTTATTGTCTTTTTTTTTTTTTTTTTGACAGGCAGAGTGAACAGTGAGAGAGAGAGACAGAGAGAAAGGTCTTCCTTTGCCATTGGTTCACCCTCTAATGGCTGCTGCGGCCAGCGCACTGCGCTGATCCGAAGGCAGGAGCCAGGTGCTTCTCCTGGTCTCCCATGGGGTGCAGGGCCCAAGCACTTGGGCCATCCTCCACTGCACTCCCTGGCCACAGCAGAGAGCTGGCCTGGAAGAGGGGCAACCGGGACAGAATCCGGCGCCCCGACCGGGACTAGAACCTGGTGTGCCAGCGCCGCAAGGTGGAAGATTAGCCTATTGAGCTGTGGTGCCGGCCTGTTTTATTATCTTTTAAGAACCTTGTAACTGGGTCACCAGTTTATGTCTTAGCTGCTGCTCTTCTGATCTGGAGATCTGGAAAAATCTGGAAGAATGTCCTGGCTACTGGCTTCAGATGGGCTCAGCTCCTGCCATTGCAGCCATTTGGGGAGTGAGCCAGTAGATGGAGGATCTCTCTATCTCTCCCTCTCTCTCTGTAACTCTGTCTTTCAAATAAATAAATAAAATTCTTTCAAAGAAAATGTATTTACTGGACCAAAGTCCACAATTGGGAACTCATTTTTTAAGCACCCATTATGTACAGAGTGCAAGACTTAGGTTCGTGGAGAAACACAAGGAAAGTATAAAATAAAATTTCTGTTTCAGAGAGAACACTAAGTTTACAGTTAGAGTGTTAGAGTTTGGAAACAAATCGATATATCTGTGTGAGTAGGAAATACGAGAAGAACTCTCATCACAGTCACCTAACTCTGTAGGTTGGGGTAGTGAAATGCAGGCAAGGGAGAGAATATGAAGGAGAGGGATGTCTTTAAAACTGTGGACGCTCTGGATTTCTTGGCATTCTTGGCAATACGAATGCTTATACAAAGATTTGTTTTGTACTTTGCCAGTGAATAGCTGTGTGATCCCAGAGATGCATATTTATGTTGTCATTTTTGTCATCAGAGCTGGCTGATGGCATGACCTCAAATGATCTTTTTGTGTTTTGTTTCTAGCATGGTAGAAGTTTATTGGTTAGACAAGTGGTCCTAGAAACGTTTGGTATGGCTCCCATGATTTACAGATAACTGTAAGAGTGCTGCTCCAGGCCACGTATTTGGTTGTGTAACCATTGTGTTCACTTCTGTGAAGAGGCAGGTGTGCACGCATGGTCCTGGACTTAGAGGACATCAGAAGACGGGTTCATGGTCTCTTTGGAACGTGTTAGTGAAAACTGAAGGATGTGTTAGCTAGTAAAGTTTAGGGAAACTCTGAAGTTTTTATGGGAAAGTAAATAAAAATTAGTTTATCCTGTGATAAATCTGATTATACATGGATAAAAGATCCTGCTTTAAAATGAAGGTAAATTCCTAAAAGAGGAAAGCAGACCTTTCACATGGCAAATATAGCCTGGCTTGTGTTTTCAAGAGTGGTGTTTTTGGAAACCCTTTTTTGCTACAGAAGTTAGTGGGAGAGAACAGATGGAAACAGTACATTTTTCCTACTTAGTGCCAGAAGCACTAAGAAAACATTGCAGGGAGCTAATAACAAGTACAAAAATGTTATAAACTTGTGAAATAAATGGGTGGGACTTGTAAAGCATAGAGCAAAAAGATAAGTTGACCTGGGTTTCTAACATTATGTTTTGAAATAAAATACATGATGACGGCCGGCACTGCGGCTCACTAGGCTAATCCTCCGCCTTGCGGCGCCGGCACACCGGGTTTTAGTCCCGGTCGGGGCGCCGGATTCTGTCCCGGTTGCCCCTCTTCCAGGCCAGCTCTCTGCTGTGGCCAGGGAGTGCAGTGGAGGATGGCCCAGGTGCTTGGGCCCTGCACCCGCATGGGAGACCAGGAGAGGCACCTGGCTCCTGCCTTCGGATCAGCGCGGTGCACCGGCCGCGGCGGCCATTGGAGGGTGAACCCACGGCAAAAGGAAGACCTTTCTCTGTCTCTCTCTCTCTCTCACTGTCCACTCTGCCTGTATAAAGTAATAAAAAAAAAAAAACACCATGATGGCTCTCTTAGCAATCAGTAAGTTGTTGGAATTTCATGGATTTGTGTCTAGGACTGTGCAGGGGGGCGCTATCAGCATAATAGCTGATGTGGAACACAGGTTCTCATTTCTGCAGTTTCCTTGTGCTTGTTCTGCCAGGAAGTTCATTCAGCAGTTATTGATGGAGTGCTTAGTTAGATGCCGGGCCCATTTGGCACTGGCGATGCAGTAGAGAGCCTCGCAGGCGGTCTCTGCCCTCCTGGAGCATAGCATGTCATGGGGGTAATGAGGAAAATAGCTAAGGGGTGGGCATTGTGGTGCAGCAGGTGAAGCTGCTGCCCGGGCTGCTCACATGCCTTATCGGAGTGCTGGTGAGAGTCCCGTCTCCTCTGCTTCCAGTTCAGCTTCAGCTCCTACATCCTGGGAGGCAGCAGATGAGAGCTCACGTGCTTGGACCCTGCCTGCACGTGGGAGACCCGGACGGAGGCCTGGCTCCTGGCTCTGCCTGGCCGAACCCCAGCTGTTGTAAGCATTTGGAGAGTCAATCAGTGGATGGGATATCTTTCTTTTCTCCATCTTGCACTCTCTCTCTGTCCCTTTGCCTTTCAAAATAAATAAATAAAACTATTTTAAAATAAAGACTCAAAAAAATAAAAACAAAAATAACTAAGAGAAGTCAGACAGAAAAATAACAAACAAACTAGATGGTAGGAAGTGCTAAAAGGAAAATAAGCCAGAAAAGAAGGGGATAGAGACTGCCAAGCGGAGTGGTTGAGAAGTTGGGAAGAGAACATCTTCCCAAAGTGACACCTGGACAGAGACCAGAGAGAGAGAGGCCAGGACACCATGCTGATGTGGCTGAGGTTGAGTATTTCAGGAGGAGGGGAGGAAAGGCACTGAGTCTGAAAATATGTCTGACATATTCTCTCTCTCTTTTTTTTTTTTTTTTTTCATTTGAAAAGCATAGTTAGAGAGGAGGAGGAGAGACAGAGAGATCTTCAATCCCTTAGTTTATTCCCCAAATGTCTGCAACAGCTGGGACTGGGCCAGGCTGAAGCCAGGAGCCCAGAGCTGCTTCTGGGTCTCCTGTGTGTTTGGAGAGGACCAAGTGTTTGGGCTGTCTTCCGCTACTTTCTTGGGTGCGCTAATGAGGAGCGGCCAAGTCTTGAATCAGTGCCCGTATGGATGCTGGCGCTGTGGGCAGAGGCCTAACCTCCTGTGCCACAACACCGGCACCTTGAGATATTCTCTACTCAGAAAAGTCGTCTTCAGAAGTTTCATTGACTTACATCTGGTGTGAATGTAAGTGTATATACGTAGATGTAAAGACATCTTGAGAGACAGCTTACTTCCTCAGTGCCTGCAAAAGCTGGAGCTGGGCGAGCCTGGAGCTGGAGCTGGAAATTCAGTACAGGTCTCGCGTGAGAGTGGCAGGAACACTATCACTTGAGCTGTCTTCACTACTTCCCACAGTCCACATTAGCAGGAAGCTGGAGTCGGGAGTGAGAACCAGGTATGCATCCTAAGTACTCTTTTTTTTTTTTTTTTTAAGATTTATTTATTTATTTGCAAGTCAGAGTTACAGAGAGAGAGAGAGAGAGAGAGAGAGGTCTTCCATCCTCTGGTTCATTCCCCAATTGAACGCAATGGCTGGAGCTGCGCCAATCCGAAGCCAAGAGCCAGGAGCCTCCTCTCGTTCTTCATGCGGGTATGAAATGCCCGTATGAAATGCCGGCGCTGCAGGTGGAGGATTAACCTACTGCGCCACAGCACTGGCCATTCTGCAACACTTTAAAAAATACACTGAGGCTGGTGCTGTGGTGTAGTGGGTAAAGCTGCCTCCTGCAGTGCCAGCATCCCACACAGGCACCAGTTCAAGTCCCAGCTGCTCCTCTTCAGATCCAGCTCTCTGCTATGGCCTGGGAAAGCAGAAGATGGCCCAAGCGCTTGGGCCCCTGCACCCACATGGGAGACCCACAAGAAGCTCCTGGCTTCGGATCCACTCAGCTCTGGCCATTGCGGCCAACTGGGGAATGAACCAGTGGATGGCAGACCTTTGTCTCTGTCTCTCCATTTCACAGTAACTCTACCTGTCAAGTAAATAAAGTCTTTAAAAAAATAAAGTGATGCAGAAATGAGAATTTTGGTCTCAACATCAGCAAAAGGTACATTTTTTTAATGCCTTTCTTTGTCTTTTCCTAGAGAAGTCACCTTCAATTTAGCGATTAGGAGCCAGTGTGGGCTGCCTTCTGTGTTGATAGCACTACAATATGGGTTTTATCAATGTCTTCCTTAGCATGTGTTGCTTCAGTTTATTGCTTGCTGAGAATTTAACTTCCATCCATTTTTTACAGTGACTCAGTAAAAAATGCATTTTATTAGATGTCCATTTTCTCTAAATTGACTTAAGTTCAGTTTAATTCTGCCAGTTTTTTATTCTGCGGTTGTTAAGCTCTTTTTAAAATACATGTGAAATGTAATGGGTGAGATAGTGAAGACACTAGTACAACAGGATGGGAGAAAATGCTCTGTTGCATAATAAGACTGACAGTTTTATAATAAAGCAGTGTGGAATCAACAAGAGAAAAGATAAACAGATCTTAGGAACAAAATAGAGGAGACAGGAGTTACGGAATCTTTCCCTGTGGGACAACTGGTTGTGAGTATGGGAGGGAAAAAATGAGTCTGAATCCTTACCTCACTTCAAAGATTCTTTTGTCTTAGCTCTTCAGCAGAGTTATACCACTGCCTCATGACTGCTGAGACTTCTGTTGAAAGTCTGTTTTCCTTTATATATAATTTGCATTATCTTTTTTTTTTTTTTTTTTGGACAGGCAGAGTGGACAGTGAGAGAGAGAGACAGAGAGAAAGGTCTTCCTTTGCCCTTGGTTCACCCTCCAATGGCCGCCTCGGCCGGCGCGCTGCGGCCGGTGCACCGTGCTGATCCGATGGCAGGAGCCAGGAGCCAGGTGCTTTTCCTGGTCTCCCATGGGGTGCAGGGCCCAAACACCTGGGCCATCCTCCACTGCACTCCCTGGCCACAGCAGAGAGCTGGCCTGGAAGAGGGGCAACCGGGACAGAATCCGGCGCCCCGACCGGGACTAGAACCCGGTGTGCCGGCGCCGCTAGGCGGAGGATTAGCCTAGTGAGCCGCGGCGCCGGCCATCTTTTTCCTTTTTTGAAGGTATTGTATGTATTATATGAAAGGCAGACAGGTAGAGATCGCCCCTCTGCTGGTCAATTCTGCAAAGGTTCACAGTAGTCAGTGCTAGACCAAGTCAAAGTCAAGAGCCTGACACTCGGTCCTGGTCTCCCACATGGGTGACATAGACCCAAGTACTTGAGCCATCACCTGCTGCTGCCCAAGGTGTGTATTAGCAAGAAACTGGAATTGAGAGCAGAGCTAGGAATCAGCACAGACGCATGAAAATGGGAGGTGGGTGTGCTGAGCATTGCACCAGATGCCCTCCCCTACTTGTTCTTTTAAAGATCTCTAGTGATAGATGATAGAGGCCCAGACCCTCCACTTCTCCTTTCCTCCCTCTCCCCCGCCCCCACTTTTTAAAGATATATTTATTGTATTTGAAAGGCAGAGTTACAGAGAGAGAAGGGAGAGACAGAGATCTTCCATCCACTAGTTCACTCCGCAGATGGCCACCAGTGGCTGGGGCTGGGCCAGGCTAAAGTCAGGAGCTTCTTCTGAGTCTCTCATGTAGGCGGCAGGGGACCAAACACTTGGGCCATCTTCTGCTGCTTTCTCAGGCACATTAGCAGGGAACTGGATTAGAAGTGGACAGCCAGGACTCAAAGGAGTGGCCATATGGGATGCCAGCATCACAGGCAGCAGCTTTAACTAGCTAGGCCACAACCCATGTCTGTCTCCGCCTCCCTCCTTCCCTCCTTCCCTCCTTCCCTCCTTCCCTCCTTCCCTCCTTCCCTTCCTTCCCTTCCTCCCTCCCCCACTCCCTGCCACCTTCGGCTGCTTTCCTAGGCCATTAGCAGGGAGCTATATCAGAAGAGGAGCAGCTGGGACTTGAACTGGTGCCCATATGGGATGCTGGCACCGCAGACGAAGGCTTAACCTACACCACAGCGCTGGTCCCGCCTCCTCTCTTTCACTCCGGTGGGCATTCCCTCCTCCCTTTGCTCTATGGAAGTAAGACAGTTATTCCAAAAAAGCAATGCCTTTGTGTAGCTTTCAGATCATTAAAAAGTTGTATGAATAGTCACACTTTGAGCAGTTGTTCTTTGTTCGTAAAGAAGGAAATTAATGAAACAGTGCTTATAAAGTGGATGAATTCGTATCTTACCTGGTTTTAAATATTTCAGAATGTTTCCGACCTATTAGTTACGAGTATGCTAGCAGTTTCTGCTAAATGGTTGAACTTTGCCCTGCCAAAGAAACGCCTAAGAAGCTTTGTCAGATTTCACAGTCTCGTGAGTCTGTGCACAAAGAACACTCTTCCAGTGTCGCTTTGTTCCGTGTGTGACGGGGAAACTTCCTGCTAAGAAGCCTGAGAGAGTTAGCGACGCCAGTCTTCATGGTGAGGTGTTTCCCAGAAAAATACTCCAGTCACCTTCCCAATCAGAAGTCTTTTTTCCTTAAATTTGTTGATTGCTGGATTTCTGTTTGGCCATCTTTCTGCAATGAGGGCAACAGTGAGTGGCCCTGGAAGCTGCGATGAGGGAAACAGAGGAATTCAACACAACGATGAGATCAGGGCTGAGCAGAGGCGCTCCAAAGAGAAAGCGAAATGGGTCTCAGCCGGATTAGCACTGGACTGTCCCCATTCTGAGAAGGGAAGAGATGGGCAGGCATTTAGCGCACAGTTAGGAGGTCTGCATCCAACATCACCTGTCTGCGTTCCCGCCTTCAGTCTCCCACTCCAGCTCCTGGCTCCAGCTTCTTGCTCATGCAGACCCTATGGGACACCTGCGTTGCACGCCCAGCTCTCAACTTCTGTCCAGTCCCGGTCATTGCAGGCATTTGGGGAGTGAGCCCACAATTGGGAGACCTGTCTGTTTTCCCTTCTCCTTCCTTCTCCATTTTCTGTCTCAGTAAATCAATAAATAATTTAAAAAAGAGAATCCTCCATATAAATGTACAGTTATGTGTCAATTAAAAATAAAACGTGGCACAGTGGGTTAAGATGCAACCTGCAACCTGGCGTCCCATATAAGTGCCAGTTTGAGTCCCTGCTGCTCCATTTCTGATCCAGCTCCCTGCTCATGCACCTGGGAAAGCAGTGGAAAATGGCCCAAGTCCTTGGGGCCCTGCACCCATGTGGCAGACCTGGGTGGAGTTCCAGGCTTTTGGCTTCAGCCTGTCCCAGCCCTGGCTGTTGGGGCTATTTAGGGAGTGAACCAGTGGTTGGAAGATCTCCTCCCCTCCCCCTCCCCCTCCCTCCTCCCTCCTCCATCTCTTGCTCTCCCTTTCAGATAAATAAAAAATCTTTACAAAAATAACAATTTGGGGTAGGCATTTGACACAGTGGTTAAAATGCCTCTGTCCTACATCAGAGTGCCTGTGTTCAACTCCAGCTCTAGTTTCTGACTCCATCCTCCTGCCAGGGCAGACCTTGTGAGACAACAGGGGATGGCTCAGGTACTTGGGCTCACATGGGAGACCTGGATTGAGTTCTCAGTTCCTGGCTCTGGCCCTCACCCAGTCCCTGTTGTTGCAGGCACTTGGAGATCAGTAAAGCAGTGAGTGGGAGCTCTCGCTCACTCTCTCTTTCTTTCTCTTTGCCTCTCAAATAAAATAACTTAAAAAAACATTAAATATTTTATTTCTTTCAATAAAAATATTTTTATAAAGATGTATTTGTTTGAAAGGTAGAGTTAGAGAGGGAGAGATATCTTCCATCCGCTGGTTCACTCCCCAGCGTGGCCTGGGCCAGGCCAGAGCCAGGAGTCAGGAACTCACCCTTGCCCAGTGGTGGCAGGGACCCAAGTACGTGGACCATCTTTTGCTGCCTTCCCAGGCACATTAGTAGGAAGCTGGATCAGAAGCAGAGTAGCCAGGACTCAAAATGGCACTGAAGTATGGCATGTGGACATTGCAAGTGGTGGCTTGACCTGCTGTTCTGCAGCGTCAGCCCCAGCTAAAATTTTTATCAATGTCAGGGCCGGTGTTGTGGTGTAGTGGGTAAAGCCGCCGCCTGTGATGCCAGCATCCCATATAAGCAAAGGTTCAAGTCCTGGCTGTTTTGCTTCCAGTCCAGCTCCTTGCTAACACACTTGCAAAAACAGCTGAGATGGCCCAAGTATTTGGGCCCCTGCCACTCACATGGGAGATGTGGATGGAATTCCCAGGGGGGAGTGAACCAGTGGGTAGAAGATCTTTCTTCTTCTTTTTTTTTGACAGGCAGAGTGGACAGTGAAAGAGACAGAGAGAAAGGTCTTCCTTTTCCGTTGGTTCACCCCCCAATGGCTGCTGCAGCCGGCACACCGTGCTGATCCGAAGCCAGGAAGCCAGGTACCTCTCCCGGTCTCCCATGCAGGTGCGGGGCCCAAGGACCTGAGCCATCCTCCACTGCACTCCTGGGCCACAGCAGAGAGCTGGACTGGAAGAGGGGCAACCGACACAGAATCCAGTGCCCCAACCAGGACTAGAACCCGGTGTACCGGTGCCGCAAGCAGAGGATTAGCCTATTGAGCCGCAATGCCGGCCAATAAATAAGTAAACCTTTAAAAAATGACATTAATCATCTAAAATCATATTCAAGCCTAGCACATTGATTTATTACAAAGCCTGTGTATCAGCACTGTGTGTAGATATTGAGGCTTCTATTCCACTTAGATAATTCTTATTTTGAAACCACTCATTCAGAAAAATTTACAGTCATTTTGAACTTGTGCTATGACATGGCAAGATCTCTAGTAAATCACTTTGATTCCTATTGTAGTGGTTTTATTTATAAAAATAAATTCCTGCAAATTCCTGGGAAAATGCTTTTTTATTTTTTAACATCCTGCTGTCATGTGAGACTACATATCCTAAGCGTATCATGTCACCTTCCACCTTCAAAGCAGTGCTAAGATTCTGCTAATGGTACTATAAATCTGTGTTCCCAGCTGCAGATTGTAAAACTCCTTTTGTTCTCCTCCTTCTCCAGAAGCATACCAAACCGCCAGCATGCCTTTTGTGTTCACTCAGAGAAAGCAGAGAGGCAGGGTCAAGCGTGTGTGTGAATCCTTGCTCGATTCTCACTAGCTATGTAGCCTTAGAAAAATCACTTAGGGCTGGTGCTGTGGTGTAGTGGGCTAAGCCTCTGCCTGCAGCGCCAGCATCCCATGTGGGCACCAGTTCATGTCCCGGCTGCTCCTCTTCCAATTCAGCTCCCTGCTATGGCCTGGGAAAGCAGCAGCAGATGGCCCAAGTGCATGGACCCTTGCACCCACGTGGGAGACCCGGAATAAGCTCCAGCCTCCTGGCTTTGGATTGGCCCACCTCCAACCATTGTGGCCATCTAGGGAGTGAACCAGTAGATGGAAGACCTTTCTCTCTGTCTCACCCTCTCTGTAACTCTACCTCTCAAATAAATCTTGAAAAAGATCACTTTGACCTCTCTGGAACTTAGCTCCTAATTTATGCAGTGAGGATGACTACAGTACCTGCTCTGGAAGGTGGTTTGACAGTTCGGTGTATATCATAAAATGTCTGACCCAGCGCTGCTTTTGTCTGCTGCTGTCTTGGCAAGGTGTTAATGGAGTCTCTCTTCATTTGGTTTAATTTATTCACACCCATTCTATTTACCACTTCGCGACACTAGGCCCCTGCTGACTCCTGGCCCTGCTCTCTCCTGCCTCCATCTGGATTTGATTTGGGGTATCAGAAGCACTTCTGATCAGTTTTCTGCCAAATTCAGGGATCTTCAAAGGATCCCCTTTTTCCTTCCTGAGGTTTAAGATCCTGGTCTCTTTAGCCTCTGTCACCATCTGGCACTAGATGTATTTACTGCTCATGAAAATACCCTGGGGGTTATAAAGTACCAGATGAAAGTGAGCTGGTCATTCCCAGCTCTACCCACTGCAGGCGGCTTTTCATGTGCATGTGTCATTGCTACAGTTAGGCTGTAATGGGGCTGAACCATGACCTACTTTAGTTTATATTGCTGTAGCAGCTTACTTGGTACCAACATGTCGAGGGTGTTCTTACATATATGGCAGATTGATTGCTATATAAATTGCTACATCAAAGAAAAAACTGCATCAGAGATTTAAATGGCTTACTGGATATATTGTTATGTGTCTTAGCAAGGTCAAAAATAGTTGTAATATTTCTAAATGAATGGTTTCAAAATAAAAAATGTTCAATTGGATAGGCTGGGAGTTTGAAAATTATGTGCAGTGCCTATGCATGGGCTTTTTAATAAACCAGCATTTTAAACTTGAATCAGTGTTATTTAATATGATTATGGATCTAAGAACCAAAGTATGCCGGGGTCAGCCTGTAGTTCACATTCAGGTGCGTCGTCTCATGGGTCCTCTCAGCACACCTGGGAGGCAGGTAGATTATGGAAAGCTCTCACGCGTCTGTTCACTTCACAAAGGAAGTGACTTGGCCGTGATGTGACAGGCAGAGTAAAGTAAAACGTGGTTCTGAGACAGCTCTTCTTACTTGAAACTTTTGATTTTTTGGGGGAAACACATCTCTCTCTCTCTCTTTTTTTTTTTTTTTTTTTTTGACAGGCAGAGTGGACAGTGAGAGAGAGGGACAGGGAGAAAGGTCTTCCTTTTTTCGTTGGTTCACCCTCCAATGGCCGCCGCGGCCACCGCGCTGATCCGAAGCCAGGAGCCAGGTGCTTCTCCTGGTCTCCCATGGGGTGCAGGGCCCAAGCACTTGGGCCATCCTCCACTGCACTCCCAGGCCATAGCAGAGAGCTGGCCTGGAAGAGGGGCAACCGGGACAGAATCCGGCGCCCCGACTGGGACTAGAACCCGGTGTGCTGGCGCTGCAGGCAGAGGATTAGCCTATTGAGCCGCAGTGCCGGCCGGAAATACATCTCTTAATAAAAAAGCTCAAACTATTCTAATTTGTTAGTTAACATTTCCTTTATTAGAAATGAAAGGATTTAAAATTTAGTCATTTCAAAGATTAAAAACCTGGAAGGGAAGAAGAGGATTCTGGGAGTAGGAAGCACCCTGATCTGTTGTTCTGTTTAGACAACAGTTATTTTGGCGGAGTCTTTCTGGTATAACTGTGGAAGCCAGGGTGGGCGAAAAAGCACCCTGTCCTCCAGGTATTTTCCATCTGTGCGCTGATTGTTGATTTCTACTTCTGAGAACAGAGGTGCGAAGAGGAAGGTGGCATTATTGTTACACCTGCCCTGTTGCTGCAAGCCGCTTCCTCCAGCTGAAGTAACTCACAGGGAATTTCAAGAGCTCACGCTCCCTTTTGCCCCTTCTCCCTTCACCTTTCTCTGTTTCCCTCTTTGAAAGCCAGACATTGAATTTTAGAACAGAACCCTGAGAAGCAACTGCATATAAAGGGGAAAATTAGAAAATGACTGTGCCTGCCTAAGGAAAGGTGCAGGTATTAAAAAAGTCTTTAAGACGGGTAGGGGTCTGGCACTGTGGGTTAATCCCCGACCTACATCACCAGCATCCCATTTAGTGCCGGTTCTAGTCCCGGCTGCTCCTCTTCCGGTCTAGCTCTCTGCTATGGCCTGGGAGGGCAGTGGAGGATGGCCCAAGTCCTTGGGCCCCTGCACCCACGTGGGAGACTGGGAGGAAGCTCCTCGCTCCTGGTTTCAGATTGACATAGCTCTGTGAACGTTGTGGCCATGTGTGGCGTGAACCAACGGAAGAAAGACCTTTCTCTCTATCTCTTCCTCTCACTGTCTAACTCTACCTCTCAAATAAATAAATAAAATCTTTAAAATTTTTAATTAATTTTAAAAAATGAACAGTCTTAAAAAAACCTTATGGGGTTAGTGTTAAGCCACTGCCTGCAATGTCAGCATCCCATATGAGCACCAGTACAAGTCCTGGCTGCTCCATTTCTGATCCAGCTCCCTGCCAATGTACCTTGTAAAGAAGTGGAAGATGGCCCAAGCCCTTTGGCCCTTGCACTCAAGTGGGTACCCAGATGGAGTTCCAGGCTCCTGGCTTCAGCTTGGCCCAGTCCCAGCCCCAGCCATTGTGGCCATATGGGGAGTGAACCAGTGGATGCAAGATTTTTTCCATCTCTCTCTCTCTTCCCTCTTCCCTCTTCCCTGTTCTCCCTCTCTCTGTAACACTGCCTTTCAAATAAATAAATAAATTGGAAAGGAAAGGAAAAGAGAAAAACCTTATGTTTATACCTGTGATCTTTGGTATAGAGTATCATGTACAATAACCAAAAAGCAACAATAGCAGCCAAAACATAGAAACCTGGGGAGAATCAGACTCTCTGAGTCATATAATTAGATTTAGCTGTCCAGTTTTTAACAAGAACTTTACAGAGCATATAGTTAGGCTTTGGGATCATGTTCCACAGTGTGGTGGTACTGGAAGGTGGTGTGCAGTCATTAAGAGATAGGCGCTAGTGGGAGGTGCAGGGTCAGTTGAGGGCATGCCCTCTGACATGAAAAGGTTATTTCTTGTGGAACCCTAGTTGGATCTCACAAAAGGATGTTTGTATATATATGACTTATTTTATTTGAAAGGCAGACTTACACAGAGAGGGACAGAGAGAGAGGGAGAGGTCTCCCATCTGCTGGTTCACTCCCCAAACAGCCACAGTTGCCAGGGCTGGCCAGGCTGAAGGAAGGAGCCTGGAACTCCATCCAGGTTTCCCATGTCTGGCAGGGGCCAAGCATTTGGACCATTTTCCTCTGCATTCCCAGCGGAATTATCAGGGAGCTGGATCGGAAGTGGAGCAGCCAGCTCTTGAACTGGTGCCCATATGGGATTCCAGCATTGCAGTTGGCAGCTTAACCCACTGTCCCACAATGCCAGACTCAAAGATTGTTATAAAAGCCTCCATCTGGCTCTTCCCAGTCTCTCTGGCTTCCTGTGTTTGAGGTGTAGTCTTTCTTTCCTACATGTGCACCTGTTACCCGCTATGGGGCCTTTGGACTTTGAGCCTCCAAAACTGTGAACTGAGTAAACCTCTTTTTTTTCATAAGTAGTTTGCCTGGATTATTTCATTATCACCTGAAAATTATACAGCAAACAGTAATACAGAAGAGTACGGCCTCTCCAAAGGAAGAAAATAACCCAGCAGAAACTATCCCTATGAAAGACACTTAAATAATGCAGAGAAAGAGTCTTCCATGTGCTGGTTCACTCCCCACATGGATGCAACTGCCAGGGCTGGGCCAGGCTGAATCCAGGAGCCAGGAACTCCATCTGGGTCTCCCACATGGGTGGCAGGGGCCCAAGTACTTGGGGCATCATCTGCTACTTTCCCACGTGCGTTAGCAGGGGACTGGATCAGAGCAGAGCAGCCAGAACTTGAACTGGCTCTCTGATATTAGATGCACATGTTAA